CCTGCAAAGGCCCTTATTTTAAATTCAGGTCACACACTGAGGTTCTGGGTGGGCAACTCAACCCAAACCTGGGAGTTAGGAACACTCTGACACATTCAAACCAAACCCCCGGAACTCAACGGAACAGCAACAGAACTCAAACTCGAAATCCTGGTTCTTCTCACGGGACCTGCTCCCCAGGTGTTGCCAGGCCCCTCACAGAGCTGCAGCGTGCAGGTCAAGACCTTGGAGCACCTGCTAAGGGCTGGTCTGTGCACCATGGGACACTGCTAAGTGCAGGGGAGTGAACCCAGCCTGGGCCCAGAGGCAGTGTACAAGCAAGGAGAGTGGGTAAAGGCCAACCTGCAGCAAGATTTTTCACCAGAATGAGTTTGTCCCCAGGGGACATGAGGCAATGTCTAGAGACATTTTTGATAATTAAGACTGAAAGTGAGGAAGTGCTACTGGTGTCTGGCGGGTAGAGGCCAGGAATGTTACTCAATATCCAACAATGCACAGGAAGGCCCCTACAACAAAGAGCATGGGCCCAAAACGTCAACAGTGCCACTGTCAAGAAACTCAGGTATCAGAAGAATAGGATCTTAGGATTTTAATTAAAAGTTATAAAACTCACACTGCCCCCTACCTGGGGATTTTCAGGAAGCCTGGAGTCTCAGAATTCACATTTGATTCACCACCCACAACCCTATTTAAAATAGCTTTAGAAATCCCTCAGCCCAACTTCTTTATTCTACAGGTGAGAAAACAGGGACCAGGGAAAAAACTACCTATGATAGCAACCAGAGCCATTTCTTGAACACCTATAATGTGTCACACAATGCAGTAGTGTTTTGTGAAATTTGATAGTCATTGTAACCTGGCAAGACAGATACTCTCTTGTCCCCACTTTATGCGTGGTGCTCATAGGTCTCAGGGGTGGGAAGTAACCTGCCCAAAGTCCCAGAGTTTCGAGGAGGCAAACCGATTCAAACAGCCATCTCTCTGATGTCACAGACCTGGATCTTCCTGCCACATGCTGGGCCTGTGACAGAAGGTGATTTTTCCCACCACAGGGTTCATCCCATAGCCCTGCCCCGCCTGATCATTCACTGTTCTAAGAACACACCTCTTCCCAAGTAAGTCAACTAAATTGAAGGTTCCCATTCTTTGGGATTTCATGGGCCATTACAATTTAGATGACAAGTTAAAAATGTAGATAGGCAGATAGATAGTAGGTATGTGAACAGCAGGTAGACAGACATCTACCCAGGACGGCCAGCCTTTTAGCTAAGCAAATGCAGAGACTAACAAAACCAATGATCGCAGCTTCCAGCGGTCATTTCATAAAAGGAAGCAATGCCAAGCAAGGAGGAAGGGCATAATCTCGGAGTAAAAATAGTCCTTTAAATAAACAAATGTAACACTATAAAAAACTTAAAAACAGTGTTCTTATTTCCCTACTGAGTGATTTTCAACCTTTGTCATTTCATGGCACACATTAATTACTAAAAAATCTGCTGCACACCAAAAATATATTGTATTTTTTGCCAATCTGACAAAAAATAGGTATAATTTTGATTCATTCACATCAGATGGCTATTGTCCTGTTGCCTGTTGCCATTTTTTGGATAGTCTAGGGGAAAAGAGGTCAGTGCCCCTGACTAAATGGTCATGTATTACATGTTTTAAAAATTCTTATGGCATGCGGGTTGAAAATCACTGCCCCATTGTGAGTCACTATGCAATTATTTATCTAGGCCACCCCATACAACATAGGAGGTTAGTTAACTTCAGAATGAAGCCCCAGAAGTGAAAAATTTGGACATTCTCCTAGCTGAGGACCCTGGTGACTCATCCAGACAAGTGCACTCTGTGCAAGGAGTTCTGCATCCAAAGAACTTGGCCTGAACCCCAGTCCAGCAACGTAGGAAATGAGGCACTTCAGCCTGCTCCTAAATCTCCTCAGTCCTCAGTCTCTGCCCTTACGAAATGGGAAGAGAGGGACGACCTCCTCGCAGGGCCAAAGAGCGTGTGAGAGGTGCTTCCAGCGAGCTCCAGTCAGTCCCATCTCGCTCGCTGGCAGTCCAGGAATCCATGGTCCCTGCAGAGAGGTCCTGCAGCCTGGTGGCCACCTCCTGTCCGGGATGCCAGGGCCACCCAACCCGAGGGTAGCTCTCTGGCAGTATTCCCTCCTGACTCAGCCCAGCCCTCCTCTGGCACAGCTGCGAACCGGCCCCGCCCTCCATTCCCCCGAGACTACACAGCCATGTCTGGTCTGGGTCTTCGCAGCAAAGCGGTGGAAACGGCCTCTGAGAGAAAACCGACCGAAGACGTCCCAACGCCCACCTGAGAAACCGGTCGCAATAACCCACACCAATTCCGGCTACCCGAGCCCACAGGGGGAAAGTCACTTTAAACTGACTATTTAGCTTATGCAAATACACCGCGGGGCTGAAAGGGAGATGAACACCTGGCGTCTGTACTCACAAAGCACATCCCTCGTGTTTTCCAGTCTTCTGAAGCAGAAATCCAAGGGTCCTCTCCATACGAATGTGAATATCTGCTTTCTGAAAGCATAGCCGTCTGACAATTCCTGCTCCCTCCCCGTCAGAGGGGAGGCCCCATTTATAACCACTGTTCCAAAAACAGGAAGCAATGTGCTTTGGGGAGAGTGGGGACACTATCCCCCTTGGTTCAGGCCTGAGTTCTTGGGAGGGTGGCAGGGGTGGGTGATGGGGGATGGGTTTGAAATTCCCATTGTAGGAAGTGTTGAAGGAGAACCTGTTCACTAAAGGAAACATGTAGGTGTGGAAGGGCCTTGGTGGGGAAGCAACTGCAGATTCAGAGGGTGCGGGCCACCAGCTGCAGAGCCTCCTCCTTCACCCCCAGCTGTCTTTCACCCAGCACTGGCACAGTAGTGTCCAAAAATGCTCCCCCTCCATATTTGGGTCTAGCTCTCACTCTTTTCGGGGTGTGTAATGGGGATCTTTTGTGACTGGGAAGAATAGCCTAATTTTCTTCCCCAATAAATTTTTTGCTGTGGCGAGAGATATCTCCCACCCCACTCACAGGAGGGATGTTAGTAAACGCTGATTTGAGTGGGGCCTGAGGTAGCCCAGTAGGAAATGTGGAGGAAGAGGTCAGAGGAAGAGGCCAGGAAACCTGGAGGAGGAAGGGAGCCAAGGCCAGGGCCCAGGACCATCAGAGTCAGTCAGGAGAGAGAAGGAGCAGAGGCTACAGAGGGCGATGCTTGGGGTATGTTCCCCTAGGCAGGCAGGGGCCTGCAGAACACAGTGAGAGAGTTGGTGGATTCAGGAGACAGGGACACAGGGTGGCCAGCATGAACCCCAAACACAGTGACCCCCTGAGCATACAGGGGAGGCTGCAGGGTCCCTCTGGGGGGACTGAGTTTGTGTGAGCAGTGTTGTAAGGAAAGCTGGATTTATTGTTAGTGATCAGCAGGAGGGAGGGAGAGAGAGAGAGGAGAGAGGGAGGGGTGTAGTGGGAAAGGCAGAGGTCAGAAAGGATGTGATCCGTCACTTACTCATTTGCTTAAAGCTGTACAGAATCCCTGGGGCACAGATCACTGCTCCTGGAGACAACTCAAAGGTGAGTCAGGGTGACGGCTTGGTGCCGACCTCCAGGTTGGGGCCTGGCCTCCCCTGTCTTTCCCACACAGAAGGTACTGAGTATCAGGGGAGTATCTAAAATTATTAATCTCTTATTGCCTCATTGCAAATATATAGGCATTTGCACTTGAACCCACAATTTCTGATTGTGTAATGAAAGGTTTTAATCCCACCGTGGTTCTGGGGGAGGATTTGGCAGGTGAGTGGTGCTTCTCAGCAGCTCTAAAATTGCCCTGCATAGGGGACCACCAGCCTCCCTACGGGACTAGGGGGTGAGAGGGCTCTGGAGACCGAGAGGCACACAGATGGGCTCTGGGTGAGAAACTGGAACAGGCAGGTATGCTTGATTCCGTACCATGGCAGGCTTAAGAACCAGAAGGTGGGACTCTGATGCAATTCACATGGGCGATGGGGAAAAGGGCCATTTAGCTATTAGAAGGTCATGCTCTGAACCTGACAAAGCTATGCTGACAAAGCCCATAAAATCTGTGTGTGCTGGAGGACTGCTGCAGGACTGTTCTCCAGTCCTGGCCAGTGTGGCAAGGTTGGTTGGAGCATCATCCCACAAACCAAAAGGTCACAGGTTCAATTCCTGGTCAGGACACTTGCCTACTAAGGTTGAAGCTTCAGTCTCCTGCAACCTTGGGGCAGTAGAGGGGCAGGATGATTAATGTTTCTCTCTTACATCAGTGTTTCTCTCCCTCTCTATCTCCCTCCCTCCCTTCCCCTCTCTGCACGACAGTGGGCTTCTCCTTGAGTGAGGATAAAAAAGAAAAAAGTGCTCTCCAGCCCCTGTGTAGCCTTGTGTTTTAAGAGAAGAGCAGATGGTTTAATCCAGCCTCTGGCTGTTCCTTACCTTGTGGTAAATGGCTTGGCCTCTCTGAGGCTTTGCTTTCTCCTCTGTGGAGCAGGACGAATGTTTAACTCACAGGCCCATTGTAAGGTTTAGTGCTGTACCTGGCACACAGCAGACATTACACATGTGCACACACAGGATCCTGCACTAGCTACTCCTCTAATGGACAATGACACAATCTATGGAGAGCTTGCAATATGCCAGATATTGTTATAATGCATCACATGTCTTAATTCATTGAGCTCTTTTGAAAACCCAATAAGTGGTGGTATCACCCCATTTTATAGATAAGAAAACTGAGGCACAGAGACATTAACTCACTGAAGATCACAGAGCTAGAAAGTGATTGAGTTTGAAAATACCAGTGCATAAATTGTTGATTTTGGTTACTTAATGGGCACCACTGTGCCCTGTTTTGAATACTAAAAGCAGTTGATTAAAATGATATAGTATTTATCTCTCACAAGAAAACAACAAAGTGGCTTGAGTGGTTTCTTTTTTATGTGGCTCTCATCTGATTTTCTTTCTGGCTTCAGCACCAAAACCCTGAATAGCCCTCCACTGACAGCCGGCTAGAGACGGATGCTGGGAGCAGGAAGGGGATGTGAGGAACCCTTTGGCTTGGCTCTTGCTCCTAACTGTTGCAAGTCCCAGGTGTTGAGTCCTGAGGAGCTGTGACGATGGAGGCTCTCCCAAAAGCCCCGGACATTGATGAGAAGTCTCCAGAATCCAAGGACCTGCTGCCCAGCCAGACCGCCAGCTCCCTGTGCATAAGCTCCCGAAGTGAGTCTGTCTGGACCACCGCCCCCCGGAGTAAGTGGGAGATATACCGCAAGCCCATCGTCACCATGTCCGTGGGTGGCGCCATCCTCCTCTTCGGCGTGGTCATCACCTGCTTGGCCTACACCCTGAACCTGGTTGAGAAGTACCTGACAGCCCTCAAGATGATAGGGCCTGCCTTCCTGTCCCTGGGACTCATGATGCTGGTGTGCGGGCTGGTGTGGGTGCCCATCATCAAAAAGAAACAGAAGCAGAGACAGAAGTCTATGTTCTTCCAGAGCCTCAAGTCCTTCTTCTTAAATCGCTGATGATGACCTCCCCTTCTGTCCTCCCTATCACCCTGCCACCTCAACCCAGACAAGGAGGTCTGAGGATCAATGTTCAATACCCCATCTCCTTGGGGGCGGGCTTTGCCATAAAAATAATCCAGGCTGACTGCCTTCCTGGATCTGGAGGAAGGAGAGCGCTCAGGGCTCCCCTTCTGTATAGGTGGGGCATATTGCTGGACAAATCTCATTCAGTGTCTGTTACTACTGAGGCTTCCCTTGGACCCTGCCTGCAGCCATCCCTTTCTTGGCACCCACACCCTGCCATGCATTCAGGAGTCACTCATCTATAGCTCTCGCTGCCATGTGCTATAAATGTTGGGAAATTCCTAGGATGGGCTGTGCCCTAAGGAGAACCTCATGTTTATGCATCTGAGTGCCTGGGCTGGATTCCACATTTGCATCCTTCTAGAACCAAACTGACCAATAGGAATGATCTTTCCCAAAGGGGAGGGAGGGCTTGCTCGAAACCCCTGGGTTTGCCAGCCCAGCTTCCTTCATGGGCAAGATACTGACTTGCATTTCAAGAGGTGAGACAAGTCACAAGTATCAAACATTCCAAAGAGTGAACAGTGAAGGGGCTGGGGATGGCATGTTTTCCCTGGAGGAGGCTCAAGAGCCAGCCAGCCAAGAAAGTCCAATTCTCAGTTATATAGTATTTCTGGATGTGGTGGGGCATGCTCAGGGTGTAGCAGTTTCCCCTTGACTTTCTAACTCCTTCTCCTTGACTGCCCTCCCCTCTGAGCTTGCCAACTAGTCGATGACAAGTGCATGCTGCCCTAATGTCCTCTTGGCCCCACCCTGGATTCTAGAACAGCAACATGGAGAGCTACAGAGGATTCTATAGGATTGCTCTCTCCTTCACCTGCATTGAGAATCAAAACCAGGAAAGTGGCATTCCACCCTTGAATGGTCTGTAGGTATCCAGAGATGAAGTCCAGTTTCAAATATGTCTCCCTGCCTCCACCCACCAAATAAGTAAACATATCTCAAGTGCCCTTCTCTGGGCCAGGTCTTCAGTTGGAAGCAAGACGGGCACGTTCTTTGCTTTAATCTTCTTTCCTAAGCGGCAGATACAGCCCAGCCAATGGACATTGGAATACCCTATGCTGGCCCTGGATGGTGAAATGGGGTGGTGGGGGAGCGGGCAGGGGACATTGAAGCCGGACCTGAGAGAGAACAGATTGCTGGGCTATGTCATTCCAACAGAGAACAACAAGAGAGATGAGAGCTAACAAAGAGAAAGGAGAAGCATCTGGGGCAGCAGGAACTGTCTGTGCAAAAGCTGGGGATGGGGGGAGCATGATAAAGTTCAGGAAACTGCATAGCAACTTTCCTAACCTCCCAAATGTCATGTCTACTCCTTTCTTGTGGGCTGTTCCTCACTGTGATTCCCCAAGTGCCTCAGGGCAGCTTCTCCTAGGTGACACTGAGGGCCTCCTGGGTATATGGGAGAGACTGGAAGTGGGTTTCCAAAGGATCCACCTAACAGAGAGCACCCATGTGATAGGTGCTCCCAAAATCTGGGTTTCTCTGTAGTAGTCAGAGACCTTCAGGTGACAGGCTGCGCGGGAGTTTGACTCCACAATGCCCCAGGCCAGGCCCAGGCCCAGGCCCAGGCCCAGGCCCAGGCCCAGAGGAGAACATTTGCTAACAAGCTGTGAGTGAAAGGTGTCCTGCACTGCCATCACCCTTGGCTCGAGCTGACTCCCTTCACTCCTTAGTCTTCTGGCTTCCCAGTCACTATGGCAACCCCTCTCTAACAGGGCTCCAGGTTTCTCCATGCTTCATGGTGTTTCTATATGCAGAGTCAGAATCTCACCTTGTTCCCTCTGCATCATGGGTATTCCATGAAGGCAGGTACCTCTGACATGTGGACACCCCCTAACCCTCCTACCTAAGGAACCAGAGTTCTGAGAGCAAGTGGCCTTTGAGCTTCACCCAGAATGACCATGTTTCATTCATTCAGTGTGGCTGGGGCATTTTGCCCACCTGTCCCTTGCACACAGGTGGTCAGGATCAATATCCTGCTGGTGTTGCAAGTGCTATGTCACTAATTGTTGTTCCAGTGCCTCAGGTGACCGGGTTTGCAGATCATTTCCTTTCTCTGACATGAAGGCAGAGTCAGTATTGGGTCTGTAATATTACTCCCCAATTCCCTGATGTTTTCTTACAGGGGAACAAATAGACTGGTCTCCCAGTTAACTCTTGGAAAATCCACGCTCCCTGTATCTTAGTTCATCTGCCCAAATGCTGGCTGTCTGGGCCTGGCTGTGGGAAGAGGCCCTAGGTAGGTGTTGCCATCCTCTATGTCTTAGAGGCAGGAAGTGTGGGGACCCTCAGGACTTTAGAAAGTGTCCCAGTCCTGGGCTTGTCTTGCAGTCTGCAGCAGTTCTTGCCCACATTCCCTGCTCCTCAAGCTAGTTTCTCAGCAAGAACAGTTAGGAAAGTGCTCTGAGGAATTATTCACAAGCATCACTCAACCCCGCTGAGATCCCCCGCTTGAGTGTGAGCCTAGGAGCATGCCAGCGTCACACCAAGGGGTCTTTGTCAAAGACCATCACCCCATGGAAGTCTAAGGTATGTGTGTGCCTCATCTGTGAGTGCGGATCACCTGCCACATTCCGGACCAAAGCATCACCACCGTGACTCCTCTTATACCATGGGTTGGGGCACAGGGCCAGCATCCACATGTTCAGCTACCTGGATTGTGTTACCACTTCCCCTGCCCCCTGCATAGCTATTCTGTTTGGTAGAGTTCAATTTCATCTGAGGCCTAAAGGAATTGATGTAATGTTGAATTGTACTCAACATTCTACTTATCAGTAAACTCTACTTATCAGTAAACTCTACTTATTCTATTTCACAGAGTCTGCTGTGTTTTCATTCTGCTCCATCAGACACTCCAAGATTAAATCCCCTAATTCATTCCTCTGCACTGCCCTTCCCTCTCATCACTACACATTCTCAGGCCCTCCCCCATGGAGCTGTCCAGAAGAAAGGGTTCAGTATGGGTTCCACACATGGTTCCTGGGGTGCCTCACAGCAGCTGATGACCCTGTTCTCCATAAGTAACAGCCCATAAGCAACAGATCAGAGACTCAGGTCCATAGCTACCTCCAGAGTCCCCATGTTCTCGTCCCCTGAACTCTTGGTTTTATGCCACGTGAATGGCCAGAGGCAGGAATGGAGCCTCTCCAACCACTAGCAGGAGTGATGCTGTCAGAACAGGTGGCCTTGGTCTATCCAGCCTTTGTCCCACAGGCCAGACTCTTCTGCTGACAAGTAGGAGGCTTTGGATCTGCCTGGCACTGGTTATTGAGACTTCTTGTCCCATTGGAGGCCAAGTGCATAAACCCCTCAAAAGTTCAAGACCACCACCCACAGGAGTACTCAGAACCAGAGCAGCAGCCTAGACCCAGTATCATTTCTCACAGGTTTGGTGCTGCTAAACTGCAGGTCTTCCCACAGGGAAAGGGGCTGTGGGCCATTTGCTCTGTTCCCCATTTCTCAAAAGACCCTCCCTGTCTCATTCAAGACTACAGAGGAGTCACCAATGAGCCTTAGAACTGGTTCCTCCTTGGCCCTGCTAACCTGGGGCACACATGTCAAGGTCCTACCTCCTGCACCATCGCACCCCTGAGCCTGTGCTCTGGCATCCACAGGGAGTGTCCAGTTCCTGTCTAAGGTTTCCACTTATTGTAGGCTGCACACAGCTCCAGGGGCCCCACTGGCCCCACCAGTCCCTGACCCTGTGGTTGGCTCTCTCAGGTCTCCTGGGGGGCCTGCTATTCCTGAGGAAACATGCTCACAGAAAGGGGGACGCAGGCCATTGCCCAGTCCAGCTCTCCTGTTCCAAAGAGTAAGAAGGCTTAGAAAGGGTCACCCCCAAAATGACAACCACCTCCCACTGCCCAGCAGGGCCTTCTGGGAAAACCACCAAGTGACTGCACAGAATTGGGAGAGCAGTTGCCATAGGCCTTCTGATAATTACATAGACCAGCTGGGCTTGTCTCTGATCAGTAAGTAAATGCAGACATAAATAATGGCCACTTCCCGCAGGGTTGCAGGAAACGTGGCTCTGTTACAACAGCAGTTTGCCCAGCTCATTCTCGGGACCCTGCCCCATGGTCCCTCCCTCTCTCTGGCCCTGCCTCAGACAACATCAGGATCCACCCCTCAGAGTAGCCTCACTTGAGCCTGGCACTTCAGTCTCTGGGCTCCAACTTCACACCAACAAGAGATGATGTTCAGGTTACTTCCCCCACCAGAATGCACTTCTTCCCTGAGATCCCGCCACGCAGGAGCAGCGGTGAGAGTCTATCCTTCCTGCAAAGTTGTCTCCCTGAAGGCTCCTCCCTAGCCTCACCTCTCCTCACTGTAGTCCTTCTCTGAATGACCTTCCCCACGACCCTGGCTTCTGCTAGTCTCTGTAGGCGGTGACTCCTCAGATCTAGCCTTACATATCTAAATGCCTGTTGGAAAATGAGTTAGCTTCCTAGCACTGCTGTAAAAATAAAATCATCATAAATTTAGTAGATTCGATGGAAAAATAAACTTAAAAACTTAAAAAAAACTTAGTAGTTTAAAATAATCAAATTTATTATCTTGTCACTCTGCAAGTCAGAAGTCCAAATCAAATCTCACAAGATTCACTCAAATAGAAATGTGGTGGGGCCGCATTTCTTCTCAGAGCTCGCAGAGAAAATCCATTCCGTGCCTTTTCCAGCTTCTAGAAGGCTCCCCCATTCCTTGGCTTGGGGCCCCCTCCTCCATGCTCAGAGGCAACAGTCTCATCAGTCTGACCTCTACTTGTCGTTACATCTTTTTCTCTGGCTCTCCTGCTTCCCTCTTTCACTTATAAGGACCTTCTGGTCCTATTGGGCCCACATACATAGTCCAGGACAATCTCCACATTTTAACAGCCTTGTATTAGTTAGCTCCGGTGGCCATAACAATGTATCACAGACTGGGGGCGGCAGGGGCTTCAACAGCAGATATTTATCTCACAGTTCTAAAGGCTGGAAGTCCAAGGTCAAGGTGTCAGTGGGACGTGTAGATGGCTGCCTTCTTCCTGTGTCTTCACACAGCCTCTGCTCTGTACACGTGTCCTAACTTCCTCTTCGTGTAAGGACACCAGTCAGGTAAACCAGTGCACATCCCTATGGCCTCATTGTAACCTAGTTAGTTCTTTAGAGACCCCGCCTCCAAACACAGTCACGTTCTAAAGTACTTGGGGTTAGCACTTCAATATCAATTGGAAGGGACACAATTCACCCCTTAATTACACCTGCAAATTTTCTTTTGCCATGTGAGGCAATCTAGTCACAAGTTTCAGGGATTAGGGCATAGACATCTTGGGGGAGGGGCATTATTCTGCTTGCCACAAAAAATTTCACCTTCATACCTCCAGCAGCTTCCATTCAACCTGACCCAAACCGGAATTTGTCCCCCTGCTCCTCCTACATCACCTGTCTCAGGGAGTGACACTCCCATTCACCACCACTCAGCAGGGCCCCCAATCCAGAAATCTGGAGTTCTTTGGAAAATATCAGAGACTACTACTTCCCCATCCAATAGCTTTTTCCTCATCCTCCCTGGCAATAAAGCCTCCATTTTACAGGCGGCAGCAATGCGCTCGGCTAAATTACTATATTCCTTGGCTCCCTTGTGACAGTTGAACAATGAGATATATGTGAAAATCACTAGATGGGGGCAAGACTGGCTCTTCCTCTGC